AATAGGATAGAGTTCTCACCGTCCGTCTCACTGTCTCTGATATACCTTCCCCCTCTTATCCCAATCACTGTATGAATCCATCTCATCCTGGATCTTCCTCTCTTCTGCTGTCCATTCACCTATCCAAGCATGATGTCCTTCTCCAAGGACTAGTCCCTTATGGCAGCATGCCCAAAGTTTGTCAGACCGAGCTTCAAAATCCTTGCTTCCAAGGAGCAACTTGGCTTCACCCTCTCCGGGACAGACCTGTTTGTTCTCTTGGCAGGCCATGGTATTTTCAATACTCTTCTCCAGCACCACAGCTCAAAGACATCAATTCTTCTTCTTTCATCCTTATTCAAAGCCCATGGCCTGGATCAGGTGTATTTTAGTCTCTAGACTGACATCATTGCTCTTTAGCACTCTGGGGAGGTCTCCCCTGATAGCATATTTTCCTGATACAGTTCATCTTTTGATTTTCTGACTGCTGGTGCCAAGGGTGTTGATTGTGGAACCAAGTAAGTGGAAGTTGTAAACGGTCTCAATCTCTTCTCCATCTATCATGGTGCTGCCACTTGGCTCAGTGGTGAGAATTTTTTTTTTACTTTGCGTTGAGCTTCAATTCATATTGAAAGCTGCAGTCCTTGACCTTCTGCAGCAAATGGTTCAGTTCTTCCTCAGTTTCGACAAGCATGGCTGTGTCATCTGCATAGCACAGGTTGTTGATGAGTCTTCCTTCTACCCTAATGCCACATTCTTTCTCAATAACTCAATAATTCAACCTCCTGAATAGTCTGTTCTGCTTGTAGATTAAAAAGGTATGGAGAAAGGACGCAACGCTGATGCACTTCTTTTCTGATTTTGAACCATGTAGTGTTTCCCTACTCTGTTCTAACCATTGCTTTCTTATCCAAGTATAGGTTTTGAATGAGCACAATCAAGTGTTCTGGGATTCCCTTTCTTCTCAAGGTTAGCTACAATTTGTTGTGATGCACACAGTCAAATGCCTTTGCATAGAATCCTTCAATATTAAAAATTAAAGCTTGAATTTTTCCTTTATTTCTTTCAGCTTGAGAAATGCTGAGTGCTCTTTCAGTTTTCCAATTCCAGGATTTTGCACATCTCATTATAACACCTTGTCTTCTTGAGCTGCCGTTAAAATCTGTTTAGGATTTTTCTTTCATTTATTCCCGAATTTGCTTGAGCTTTTCTACATTCAAGAGCAAGTTTAAAAAAAGGAAAAAAGAGGAAGTTTCAGTTTCTTCTGACATTGATTCTGGTCTTTTTTTCCTTTCCTGTCTTTTAAAAGACATTTTATTTTATATACAATATATATAATTTTCTTCCTATCATGGTTGTCATTCCCTAACTCATGTGGTCTTGATCATTAATATGCAATGCATGATATCTGTTCTTAAGAGAGTATCTAAATTCAGGTGGAAAATACTCAGGGTCATACTTGGGCTCTCGTGGACGCGTTTTCATTTTCTTCATTGAGGTGTTAGTATATACATCGTGCTTGGCACTGTATTTTGCACAGAGAAAATTATCAATAAAGCTATTGTTACTATTATTTTGGAAGCAGGAACTTGAGAAAGGAACTGGAGACACACCATCCCCCACCCAACCTCCCTGACTTTAAGCTCTCCATCTGATTGAGAATCCAGAATCACTAGGAAGTCGCTGGCTTTTTCCATCCATGAAATGTGACACCCTTCCTGTCCCTAGCAGCCCCAGTCTGCAAGAGAACCTCAGAGCCAGTGATTCTGGCCCTCCTCATCTGGGCAGAGACTTAACCATCTTGGCAGGAGTTGAGGGGAGCCCTTTCCCAACTGTGAACAGCCCCTCTGCTTTAGGACCCCTGGGTCAGATAGTGAGTGAGCTCTTCCCATTCTGTGCTTCCCTGGTAAATCACTTCCACGCCTCAGCCCCAGGGTCCTGGGCCCACTCCTGGCTGTGGTGCCAGGCTGACTCCTGCCAATCCCTCCCAGGCCTTCTGGCGCCAGCCCCCCTGCTCTGGGGCTGGCTGTCCCCTCCACTCACAGTCTCTCACCCACAGATCCCTTTGTTCTTTGAGCCAAGGCTTCTCCTAACTTTCAGGGGTGGGGATAAGGGTGGGCCACAGACCTACCACCTCCTGAAGGCCTGACCCTCCAACTGTCAGTCCTGGCTTCTCAAGGAACTAAGACTCACACAGTGAGACAAATGTGAGTTCTGCAAAGTGGAGTCTTAGCTTTGAGGCTCCTGGAGGCCAGGCAGGGCAGGAGAAATCCAAGAAGGCTTCAGAGAAGTGACAGCAGGGGAGAAGGTCTGCCACCTCTGGCTCTGGGATCTGAAAGAATGACGGGTTGAATAATGGAGAGAGAGAGCCATGTCAGGATTTGAGGATCCTAGCACAGTGCTACCCCCATTATAAGAGGGCTTGGAAGTGGGGTCAGCAAGCCATCTGGTGAGTCAGGGAGGGCTCTGAAAGCCAGGACAAGGCTCTCATTCATCAACACCAGTTAATAGCATACTCAGCTCGTAGCTTGAGCCACACACCCCAATGATGATGCCTCATTCCTGAGCTTCTTTATTTAGTCCAGCTGTATGACAGGTAGGTGCCACTGCTGTTTTTAGGTGCTGTAGAATCCACCAGGATTCGTAGTGATCCTACAAACAACACATCTGAGCCTTGCTCTGTCCTGCAGCGTGGTAGAGACCATTAAGATAGTGCAGGGTCGGTAATATTATTATCATCTCTATTTTAGGGAGGAAACTTAAGTCTCAGAGAGACAAGGACTTGCCTTATGGTGGGCTGCATTGGGTTACAACAACTGCTGTATTGGTTTCCTAGGGCTGCTCTAACCAAGGGCCACATGCTAAGTGACCAAAACCTAAAATTCTGGAGGTTAAGTTCAAAGTCAAGGTGTTGACAGAGGCATGCTTCTTTTGGAGGCTCTAGGGGAAGGCTTCGTTATTTCTCAGAGCTTCTGGTGGTTGCTATAGCAATGCTAGGGATTCCTCGGCTCATAAATTTATCCCTCCAGTCTCTGCCTCTGTTCCATGGCCTCAATCCTTGTCTCTCTGTATCTTCATCTGGCTGCCTTCTCTTTGTGAGTCTAGATTTCTTTCATAATGATACTAGTTATTGCATTAGGGCCAATCTTTATTTTAACCTGAATATATCTGCAAAGAGAGGCTATTCACTAGAGAAGGACATCATGCTTGGAAAGGTAGAGAGAGGGATGGTGAAAGAGAGGAAGACCCCTAACCAAGTAGATTGGCATAGTGGCTGCAGAAATGGGCTGAAGTGTGTCTGAGATTGTGAGGCTGGAGCAAGATCAGACAGGGTTCAGATCTGTTGTTCAGAGGGTTGCTGTGAGTCGGACTTGGCTTGATGGCACCTAACAACAACAACAATAACATATCTACAAAGACTCAATTTCCAAATAAAGTCATATTTATAGATACTGGGAATTAGAGCTTGGAATCTTGTGGGACTTGATTCAACCCAAAGAATTGATAAGGGATAATAGGTAGACCAGCTCCCGACCTTCACTTCCCAGAAATACAACCCCATAGTGCGGTCTGGGAGGGCCTCCTAAACACAGCGCTGCTGAAAGTTTCCATTGTAGAGATTAAGACATTCTCTAACATCCAGGAGAACCCTTTGTTAAAAAGATAATCCTGGCTGCACAGGGCAAAGGTCCTGAATAGAGTGATAGAGGACTCACTAATCCGTTTCTGTTGTAGACCAACTCTGGCTGGTCTGTCAGCTTGAAGACTACTATCTACTGTGTTGGTAGATAGAATTCAAGACCATATAACAGGATTAGGATTGATTAGCAATGTCTGCCTTGAGGGTGAACACTGAGAGCAGTGGCTTCTGTGCTATGGTTTACCATCCCAGCATAGATCAACAGAGCAGATTCTTTAGGCTTCAAACCCAAACTGCTGTGTTGCATGGACCCCAGCTCATGACAATCCTCCATCAGGTTTCTGAGGCTGTCTGTCTGTCCTAAAGAGACTGCCTCATCTTTCTCCTGTGGAACAATTGGTGGGTTCAAACTTCCACCATTTGGGGTAGCATAACAACACTTAACCTACTGTATTGCTGCCAGGACTCAGTCCCACAGTACAAGATATCTATCCCTGTGGATGCTTCTGGTCACATTGGTCAGTTACCAAGAGGAAGGAGTCCTGGAAGGAGACCAGGTTATGTCCATCTCTGTCATTGACTAACTGAGTATTTTAGTCATGTCCCTTCCTTCTTGGGCCAATGGCTCCATCCTTTTATTATTATAATTTGCTGTACAGAGGTAACTCGTGGTCGCTGTGATGCTGAACACTGTGACACTGATGTGTCAAACGCGATTAACAGTTACCCATGGTAGATGGTGTTTGGTGGAGCTCCCTGATTAAAACAAGCTTGGAAGCAGGAGTGGCATCCACTTATGAAATAGCTTGCCTCTGGAAACCCTATGAACCTGGAGAAACGATGAAAGTTATACAAGTGTTCAGGTCTTTCATTCATAGGATTGCTATGAATTGCCTATAACTCAACAGCACTTAACAACAATAATAATTGTGATTTTAATCAAAGTTTATAGATAAGTTGGATTTTCATCCACTCATTGTTGCACATTTTTCTCCCTAACCCCAGTTCACTTTTTTAAAAATTATTCATTGGTGCATACTTTCCTCCGCATCTATACACCTATACACCTCTTATTCAGGACTGTTGTTATACAAATAATGCCTAATCATATATTCCTTTTAAGTAATTTTCCCCTTCATCTGTTCTAATGCAGTGTTCAATATTGATCTTCTCTTTTTTTTTAGTTTCTCCCTAACCTGAATCTCAATCCTGTTTTATAACAGTGGTGTTATATAGTATTTGTCCTTTTGTGACTGAGATCCATGGCTCCATCTTTAATGGGTGGACATGAAGACATATTCTGCCAGGATTTGAGTGACTCACTCCTGTTTCTCTCTCCTAATCTTGTGTTCTTACACACCATACCCTTCTCTGCCCTCAGAGAACCTCTTAGTTCTCACAGTGGCCACCAAGGAGACAGAGGGATTCCGACGCTTCAAGCGCTCAGCTCAGTTCTTCAACTACAAGATCCAGGTAAGGAGTTTCTGGGTCAGGCAGACAGTTGCAGGGCAGAAGGGTTTGGTGAGAGCAACCAGGAGTGGGATGTCCTGTTCCCAAGCTGTGGAGGTCTGTAAGGTGCAGGAGACATGTCATGAGCAGAATGGAAGAGATGAGTCAGAGTGGGAAGAATGAAGAGGCTGGGAGGTATGCAGTGGGCCACAAACATTAGTGTACCAGAGACTCATTTAGGACAAATTAGAAAGCAGAGCCTGAGGAGGCCCTCAGACACGTTATACCACTGTCTGCATTGTGCTTGCAAACTAGTGGCGTTAAACAAGAAAGAAAATGTTTTAGCTCACATGAGTGAGGAAGTACAACAACTCCTGCCTTCAGCCATAACTCCAAGGTCAAGGCATTTTAAGTAGCTTGGCTTTGTTTTTCCCTCTCTAGACCCTGTTTGCTTTCATTTGCCGACATGTTCTCTTTGCTTGGTGGCAAGTTGGCTCATATGCTTGGCAACCAGAGCAGAACAAGATACCTTTCCTTAGGGCTGTAATAGAACAGTCCCAGGGAAGAGTCTGATAGGTCAGGCTTAGGTCACATGTTCAAGCCAATAACCCTGGGGTATAGTATAGTGGAACTATAAGGATAGGGCACTCTGATTTGCCAGACAGGGTCACGTGATCACTCTGGAGCCAAGTCAGCCTCATCTACATGAGAAGAGAGACAAGGGAAGATGCTCACTGCTTAAGTGAGGGGAAGGGATTTGACTTAAAAAAAGTATTTGTTCACCTAAAGCCAGTGGTAAAGGATCTTTCTCTGCAGGTGCTTGGATTGGGGGAGGACTGGAATGATGGGCAGGAGACTCCAGCAGGTGGTGGGCAGAAGGTCCGACTGCTGAAGAGAGCTCTGGAGAAGCATGCAGACAAGGAAAACATGGTCATTCTCTTCACAGACAGGTATTAGACTTGGGTATCCTGGACTCTTGGGGAGATAGAAAATACTGGGAGATATGGAAGAGCACTCTAGCTAAAGTTACCTACAATTTTGAAGGATTCTTAAGTCTGAGGATAAGACCTTCTGCAGTAGCCCATTTCTACTCTTGATGGATTATGGGAGGGGTACCTGCTCACGTGTGGTAAGCCATGATTTGAGTGTGAGTAGGTTATAGGCTATGGGGTTGTCTCTGTTCAAAGAACCAGGGAAGTATGGAAAGTAAAGCAGATTCCTTTCCCAAGAGAAGGATTTTCAGTTATCCTTGTCTCTGGTAGGCCCTCTCTTCCCTGCGCCCTCTCTCACCCCTTCTCTTTCTTCTTGCCACAGCTATGATGTGGTGTTTGCTTCGGGTCCCCGAGAGCTCCTGAAGAAATTCCGTCAGGCCAAGAGCCAGGTGGTCTTCTCAGCTGAGGAGCTCATCTACCCAGACCGCAGGCTGGAGGCCAAATACCCAGTGGTATCCGATGGCAAGAGATTCCTGGGCTCTGGAGGTAAGAGAGCTGGGGGGGAGCAAAGGATGGGGCTCAGAGGTGTCCAACCACCAACCACGGCTTTCATCAGGATCTTCCCACTTGGATGTGTCACAGGCATCAAGCCTGGAGTGTCCTATATAGAGCTTATTTTAGGATTCTCTAGAGAAACTGAGCCAGTGAACTATGTATCCATAGAGAGACTGGCCTACATGATTAGAGAGAAGGCAAATCCAGCAGCATCTCCAGAATGCTCTTGTTTCCCAGAGCTGTACGTCAGCTAATGGAAAGAGTAGAGAGTGACAAGAGAGAGCTCTGTCAGGATATCTCTAGACTGGAGGCAGAACACCCGAGATGACTCCCATTTTTATTATTTTATTATTATTAATTTTAATGAACATTTACAGAGACTTTGGATTTCTATTCATTCACTGTTGCACTTTTCTCCCTGCCCACTCTTTCCCCCCAGTTTGCTCTTCTCTTTGAAAAGTAAAAGAAAAATTCTTTCATTGTTATACAATCCCTCCCCCCAAGTCCATTCCACTTTGTTCTGGACTCCTGTCATGACAATAATACCTAATCATATATCCCTTTTAAACAGTTCTCTCCCTCATCTGTTTCAATGCGGCATACATTATTGAACCCATCTTTCTCAGTCTCCCCCCAACCTCGATGTCAGTCCCATTTTACAGCAGTGGCACTATGCAGTATTTGTCCCTTTTTGACTGATATGTTTCACTTAGCATAATGTTCTCCAGGGTCACCCATTTTGTATAATATTGAATGAGTTCCTTGTTTTTCAGTGCAGCATAGTATTCCATTGTGTGAATATACCACAGCTTCTCTATCCATTCTTTTGTTGATGGACACTTACGTTGTTTCCAACTCTTTCCTATTGTGAACAAAGCCGCCATAAACACATGTGTGCATATATCTGCCTGGGTGGCAGTTATGGTTTCTTTGGGGTATATTCCCAGTAGTGGAATTGCTGACGACTCCAATTTTAATGAGCAGTTGATGATATTGCTTAAAATTATATTATGGGAATTAATGAAATCATTGTAGAACAGCAACAGCAACTTGAATAATGTTTGTTCAAATCACTGGGACTTGTACCCTAGCCAAAGTGACATAGAAAATTAACCATCACACAACGCCCCTGGATAGCACAAACAGTTTACAACCAAAAGGTTGATGGTTCGAACCCATCTAGTCACACTGCCGAAGAACCTGGCCTGTTGATTTCCTGTAAAGATTACAGCCAGGAAACCTGATAGAGCAGTTCTACTTTGACATGCGTAGAGTCAGATCAACAGCAGAAACTAACAACAGCAACAGCAAATCAGCCATCCCAGAGTTCCCGATTTTTTTACTCTTAAACTTGCTCTCTCTCACAGTCTTCCTCATCTCATGACAGCCACAAGCTACACAAGGCAAAGCCCAGGAGTCCTTCCTGTTCCTCACTTGCCTCTCCCACCTCCAGCTCATGCTGAGTCCTGTCACTCCTGCCTCTCTTGAACTTGAACGCTTTTCTCCTGCCTCCGTCTCCTCTGAGCCATCTCTTCCCTTGGCAGCTTCTTGTTGTTGATTGCCTTTGAGTCGAGCACAACTCATAGTGACCCTATGAACAAAAGGCCTGAAGCCTTTCTAGAGCTATTGACATTTATCAAAGTTCATAGAGTTTATGGACACATGTTGTTTAGGAAGTAGATGCCTCCTCTGCTTCCAATCCCATGGAAGCTAGACATCTCTCAACTGTGGTGCCCACCTCTACTCCCACCACCTGCCAGGTTTTTTTTTGCACCCAGCAGTCAAAGGGACTGTTTAAAAGATGCATTTCCCACACATCACTCTGTTGCTGGAGAATACATTTTGGTCTCAGAAAGGACATCTGCCCCAGCACCCATGTTTTTCCCTTGTCTGAGAATAGAGGTGACTCTGGGATGGGCCCCTCTTCAGGTGCTCACCTTCTTCCTTTTCTCTTTCCTTCTCATGTCAATAGTCAGCATCTAGTCAGGGGGCCCACATGGTGTTTGGGTTTCCCTCACTGTGCCAGGGCTCAACCCCCCTGATTTGCAGTATGACTGAGCTGAGTCTCTGCCCTCCTCTGGGTTGGGCTGTTCCAAGAACTTTGTCAAGGGGCCTCCAGGCCTGGGCCCTCCTGACTCAGCTCTCTGAGAATTCCTAGTCTAATTCATCACATCACTCACTCCTTGTGTGCACCCTGTGGTTCTCTAGCTCTGTGCTGGGGGCTGAGCTGGTGCAGTTTTGTGGGCATTATTGAGCCTTCTGTCGGATTGGTGGGAACTAGTCAACCCATGGTATTAATAGGCTTCTCTTAGAGTACCACTGATACTCAATCTAAGGAGATTTCCAAGAGGATTAGTTGTAAGGGACAAGGGGTAGATGAGAGAGAAGATCCCCAGATGACTTGTGACCTGAAAGCTACAAGCTAAGTGTCTGTCTTTGTGTCCCCTACAACTCCTAGGCTTCATCGGCTATGCCCCCAACCTCAGCAAACTTGTGTCTGAGTGGGAAGGCCAGGACAGCGACAGTGACCAGCTCTTTTACACCAAGATCTTCTTAGATCCAGAGAAGAGGGTAAGAGGCAGCATGCAGGGCCCAGGGGAGGGGCTGCCCTGGAACCACCAGGAGTGACCCCCTGGGGGCCTGGACCTGGGAGTGGGCATTGACACTCAGTCATCCATCCGTTCTTTGGGCCACTCATTTATTCATCAAATCTTTACTGAGAGCCTGACACTGAATCATGGGTGAATGGGAATATGGCAGAGAACTAACTGGACAGAGGGACTCTGGCCTCATGGGTGGAGAAAACAGGACCAACTGACCTCACATTAGGTTATGATGACTGAGATGAAAGGAACTGACCGGTGCCTCTCCCCACGTCCTGCAGAGGGGATGTCTAGAGGCTGATGTGTCCTTAACTAGACCTGGACCTGGAAACCAGACCTCAGCTGTCTCAAGAGAGGTGGCACTGAGGACAATGCAGCCCAGACTCTTGTCTTCTGAGAGTTTGGGAAACTTGGGGAGCCCTTGGTGTCAGGGTCCTGGATGCTTCCCTCTGCCGCATACTGTGCTGTGTGACCTGGAGTACGATACCTTCCCTGTCTGGGCCTCAGCTTTTATCCTCTATAAAATGAAGCATTCACAAGTATATAAAGGAAATTCATTCAGTTAACTCTGAACTTTCTCCTCCTTCCCCTTTGCCTCTGGTGACATCACTTACAGAAGTCCAGAGTCCAAAGCAGAAGGGCAGCCGGCTTGTTTGGGAATAGAGCTACAGCCACCTGCCCTTGCTCACCATGGTCTAGGGCTTCATGAGACACAGTTGAAACTCAAGGAAGTTTGGTTGCTCAGTAATTAAGAACAAGGATGTTAGGACCAGGCTGCAGTTCAAATCTCAGCTTGGCCATTTAATAGCTGTGTGATCTTTGGCAGAATATCCAGTCTCTCTGTGCCTTTATTTATTTATTTTTTAACCAGTGAATTGGGGATAAAGATAGTACTTTTTTTGAATGGATGTTGAACTGGTTCAGTCGTTTACATACATGACAGGTTTAGCACAGTGGCTGGTATAAGGTGCGTTTGTTATGATGGTTGCCATTGTTGGTGCTGTTGAATCAGCTCTTGCCTTAGATTCCTTTTAGTTCTGAGCACCCCTGGTTCTCTGGAGCTAAAGCACAGGGATTTAGTGGTAGCTGGCCTCCTTAAGGGCCCCCAGCTGCCCTGATGTGATGTGGCAGGGTACCTGTAGGGATAGCAGCAGTAGACATGTGGGTCAGGCAGGGGGCAGGCTCCTCCCTAGTGTGGGAGAGCCCTGCCTCTGCCCAAGGCCAGCCCCTGCTGCAGCCCGACATCCTCTTTCCTCCAGGAACAGATCAATATCACCCTGGACCATCGCTGCCGAATCTTCCAGAACCTGGATGGAGCCTTAGGTAGGCAGCCCCCACGGGGAAGGGAGGGGACAGAAGGGATTGGTCCTGAGATGGGTGAGAGGGAGCAGTTGAGGACGTGAGGCAAGGCCCAGGCACAGCCAAGGAGGAGAGCTGGGCTGTTCTAGGTGGATGTTGTGCTGAAAGGTCACCTGCCTCATCCCCAGAGGCCACCCGGGATGTCTCACATTGGAGTGGTGCCTCTGTGCTGAGGAGTGGGAAGTAGACATTCCAAAATTCAGTCCCCAGAGCCCAGCTGGAGGCAAGGCAGGAAGACCACTGGAGGAGCTGGTGATGCACGCAGCAATATCCACCCCTCCCTGCAGAGCAGGTCCTGACGGGGGACCCTGCTTCCCTTCCATCCCCTGCCCTCCCACTCCTCAGGTTGGAGACAGGGAGCTGATGGCTGATTGGGAAGCCAGAGGCACATGGGTCCTTGAAGCCACAAGCATCCTTGGACCTGCCCTAGGCCTGTGGCTGGTGACTTGACTTTGCTACTGTCTTAATGAGCTACATCTCCTCTCTGGTCTATTCTCCTATCTTTTTTTTTTTTTTTTTTACATTTTTATTTTATTATTTGTGTGTGTGTGTGCATGTACCGTCAAATCAGATCTGACTGGTACAGGAGGAGATTGCCCCTCCTTTCCCGGCAAAGCATCTGGTGGATTCAAACCGTGCTCCTCTGGGATTGCAGTGCAGCTTCTTGCCACTAGGCCACCAGAGCTCCCCTATATTCTCCTATCTTTAGAGAAAGGGGAATTGGACCATATCACTTATGAGTGATTTAATGGAGTAAATGGACCCCTTGACAATCTGATGAAAGTTATGGCTCCTCCCCTTGTTGTTGTTGTTGTTGTTATGTGTCATCAAGTCCCTTGTAACTCAGAGAGATCCTATGTACAACAGCCCTAAGCCCTGTTCTGTCCAGTGCCAATCTCACTGTCTTTGACATACCTACTCCCATTGCCCCAGTCACTGAATCAATCCACCTCATAGAGGGTCTTCCCCTCCTGCACTGTCCCTCCACCCTCTCAAGTATGACGTCCTTCTCCAAGGACTGGTCCTTTCTTGCAACATGTCCAAAGTATGTCAGACGAAGCCTCAGAATCCTTGCCTCTAAGGAGCATCTAGCTTCACCCTCTCCAGGATGAACTTGTTTGTTCTCCAAGCAGTCTATGGTACATTCAGTACTCTTCTCTAGCACCACAGCTCAAAGGCATCAATTCTCCTTCTATCCTCCCTAGGCCTTGTCCAGCTCTCTGATGCACAGCAAGTGATTGCAAAGACCATGGCCTGTATCAGGCGTACTTTAGTCTCCAGAGAGACACCATTGCTCTTCAGTACTTTGGAGAGGGCTGGGTGCAGAAACTGAGAACTACTAGTCTGTGATTCCTGAGGTTTGTGACCGTGGGTTAAGAAGTTAGGTCTTAGGGAGCTCTGGTGGCCTAGTGGCAAGAAGCTGTGTGCTGCAATCCCAAAGGCACGCAGTTTGAATCCACCAGATGCTCTGCTGCAGAGGCAGGGACAATCTCCTCCTGTGCCAGTTGGATCTGATTTGACAGTACACAACAAGAAAGAGAAGAAAAGGCAGTGGGGGAGGGGGGAAGAAACTAAGTCTACATCACTCCTTGGACAGGCTAGGAGCGTGTAATTTCCCTCCCAAAATCCTTCTCAAGTCCTCGGAGAAGCGAAGACCCTGCATTTCATAACTGTCAGACCAGACAGCTTCTTACCTGGAGTGTTGGCTAAGGGTCAGAGCTCGGGTGGGATCCTGCCCTCGGGTGCTCATTTCACCAGAACAGCATGAGCCACCCATGGGCTGGCTTTGGTGCTTCTCCACCTGCCACTCAGAACAGGTGCCGCCCAACTCCTGTCTTCAGAGCATCTCCACACTGTCTGGAGCCAGGAATTGATGAGCTCTTTGCCCTCTCCCAGCCCCTGCTTCCAGAACAATAAATGGTTTGCTATGTGTTCTATTTTCACTACATGTCCTAACTGTGGTGCAAAGTGTGTTCCAGGTATTGACTCCTCCCATTCACCCCTGGAGATGAGATTATCCCTATTTTATAGATGAAGAAACTGAGGCTGAGGGAATTGAATTGACTTTCCCAAGGCCATACCCTGGTGACTGGGAAAGAGCTGGAATTCAAGTTCAGTTAGTCCACCTGAATTTGACCCCTGGGGCTGACTCTGGCGGGGGCTGTGCTCTCTGATCCTCAGATGAGGTCGTGCTCAAGTTTGAAATGGGCCACGTGAGAGCGCGGAACCTGGCGTATGACACTCTTCCGGTCCTAATCCACGGCAACGGGCCGACCAAGGTAGGGAGTGACCTCAGCATTGGGTGGGCTTGGGAGAGAGTTGAGGGCCCCAGTTCCATTCTCATCATTGCCCCTTTACCTCTGCGTGGGGCCATGGCCATCTACCTGGGTCCTGCCAAGAGCCCAAGTTCAGATCTGAGTTCAATGTGGAATTTTCTTTCCTGACTGTGGGGATGTCAAGTCTAACCCTGACACACAGGAGACTGCTGTCCCCTTCCAGGCCTTAGCTGGGCTGCCTCTAGCCATCCACGCTCTCTTCCCCAGGGACACTTAATCAATTAACAAATAATTATTGGTTATTTGTACCAGGGAAAAAGAGATAGAGCAGCATGGACAATATGGTCCTTGTCCTCCTGTAGCTGCAGGCAGGAGACAAGGTGCAGACTGTGAGTGGGCACAGGGTGGATCTCACTGGACCCCGGGGAGCTGGACCCTGTGGAGCCTTGGCTCCTGCTGTTTCTCTAGTGAGGTCCTTGACCAGCTGTGTCAGTCACATCGTGGGATTAGGTGGTGGAGAAGCTTATAGAAAATGCAGATTTCCTGCCTCCATTCAAGGACCACTCAATTGAAATCTCTGGAAGGGGCCCAGGAGTCTGCATTTCCCCAGTTCCCCAGGAGTCTCTTGTGTACCGTCTTCTACCTCCCTCAGAGAAGCTTCAGTTCTTCTTTCCAAGACTAGCCCAAAATTGAATCCCCCTCCTGCTGCCTTAGGGAACTCTGGTGGCCTAGTGATAAGAAGCTGTGCTGGAATCCCAAAGGTACGAGGTTCAAATCCACCAGCTGTTCCACAGGCGATGGATGGGCAGTCTTTTCCTGTGTGATTTACTGCCTTTGAAAAACCCCTGGAGGGTCCGTTGTGGGTCGATTCTGACTTGATGGTAAACACCACTACCACCACCTGCCCCCTAACGGATGGGAGGAACCCGCTGCTGGTTAACCTGGCTGCCAATTGAAAGGTTTGAGACTATACAGAAGCACCTTGGAAGAAAGTCCTGGTGATTTGTTTGGAAAAAACAGCCTTTGAAAATGCTCTGGAGCATAGTCTTATTCTGACATACGTGGAGTCTCTGAGTTAGAAGTGAGTTGATGGGTTTCTTGGTTTATTTGGGAGACATGGAGTAAAACAGGACTAGGCTGTATGCGGCCCACTCCCCCCAAGAGGTTCAGTGAGATGTGGCTGAGTTACTGGGGTAGGAGGGCCAACAGGTATGTTGTTGTTGTTATGTGCCGTCGAGTCGCTTGTGACTCATAGCGACCCTATGTACCACAGCCCTAAACTCTGCTCTGTCCTGTGCCAATCACACTGTCTCTGACACTCCCATCCCGATTATCCCAGTCGCTGAATCAGTCCACCTCATAGAGGGCCTTCCCCTCCTGCGCTGTCCCTCCACCCTCCCAAGCATGATGTCCTTCTCCAAGGACCGGTCTCTCCTCACAACGTGTCCAAAGTATGTTAGACGGAGCCTCAGAATCCTTGCCTCCAAGGAGCCACCCGGTTTGTAGGTGGCTAAAGTTGGGCAGGCTGGCCCACCTCTGACCTCTGTGCCCCCTACAGTTGCAGCTGAACTACCTGGGTAACTACATCCCCCGTTTCTGGACCTTCGAGACGGGCTGCACTGTGTGTGATGAGGGTCTGCGTCTCCTCAAGGGCATCCAGGTGAGGGCCTGAGCCTGATAACGCTGGATGAGGAGGGTGGGAGCTTCAGAAATGAGCTTCTCTTGTCTTTGGTTGAAGGAATGATGCTGTCTCCCTGCTCAGGATCCCATCCCCTTGTCCCCCGGCACCTTTCCTAGGAAGCTTTCCCAGACTGCACAGGACTCCAGCTTTCCCCACATTTCCCATGTCCCCGTTTCTTGCACCTGGTCTCTCAGGCTGTTCTGTATCCCCTTCCCTCCCATGCCCCCTCCCCTCCAGACAGGATGCCAGCCATGATCTCTCAAATCCTCCCTGGTCCTCGCTCCCATCCTGGGCCCCCTACTCCCACCAACCTCCTCGGAGACGTCTTGATGAGGCCCTGCCTCTGCCCATCTGCACACCCTGCGGGACTCTCACGCCATCTCCTCCCTGTGCAGGACGAAGCTCTGCCCACAGTTCTGGTTGGCATTTTCATCGAACAGCCCACGCCGTTCCTTTCGCTGTTCTTTCAGCGGCTGCTGCGGCTCCATTACCCTCAGAGACGGATTCAGCTTTTCATCCACAACCACGTGAGTAGTAGACCCTGAAGGGTCTCTCTGTGTCTTGGATTTGGGGTACCGCCTCAGAGCGTGGCCTGAGCCCTCTGAGGACCTGACCATGCTGATCAGAGCCGAGAGGTGGTAGTCTCTACCCTAGATGACTTTGGGGGTTCTAGAATCACTGGCTGAACTTCATTTCCAGAGCTACTGCTTTTATTGGCCATGTACCCAAAAAGGGAGATGCACTGGCCAAAAATCAAATGCGGGTCTCCTGTGCAGAAGGTAACAATAGGAGAATCCTATTGTTAGACCACCACTGTCCCTAATTCAATTCAAGTTCAACTCATTGATGTTGAGTTTGAACCAATTCATAGCTGACCCTCGAGCAGGTCTTCAGAGGCTTTAACTCACGCAGGAGGAGTTTGCCTATCTTTTTCTCTCAGAGCAACATGAGTAAGTTGCACTTCCATTTGTCTGTCTATAAGATGTTATTGTTGTTAAGTGCCATCAAGTTGTAGATGACTCATTTCGACCCTGTGAACGAAAGACCTGAACACTTGTGTAACTTTGGTCATTTCTCCATGTTCGTAGAGTTTCCAGAGGTAAGCCATTTCAGAAGTGGATGCC